GAAGGGGCAGCTTGGGGCTCACCTGGAGCCGCTTCATGGCCTCCGAGTCGTGGTCAGCCTTCACCTTGCAGGCAACCAGGAGCTGGGCCGTGGAGGCAGCCACTTGCTTGGCGGATGAGATGAGCTTCTCCTCGCTGGCGTGGCCCTGCACCGCCGCGTTGGCGGCTTCGCACAGGTTGTTGGTGGCAGCAGCCACCATGCGCGCCTGTGGCGAGAGAGGCTGTTGGCGGGGGTATGGGAGCCTCCCCCGGGGAGGGTATGCCCTGACTGGCTCAAGGGAGGTTGGGGGGCATGGGGTGGGGACAACCAGCTTCCACACTGATGGGAGAGGGAGGAAGAAGCATCCAAAGGACAAACACAAGGGCAGAGCATCCTCATCTTTGGAGCAAGAGTCAAGAGGGTGCTCCCGCATCCCACAGGTGTGACCTTGATACTCACGGCTGAAATGAGTCCCTGGGACCACTGTCCATCATCCACTGCGTTGGCAGGGATGGCGCCCACCTGCAGGAAGGAGAAGGGGAGTGAGGTTCATCCCACCGCGCATCCTTGGCCACAGGGCACAAGGGCTGCGGACAGCCCCGGGAACAGGAACAGCCCATCACAACCTTAGGTTTTCCTGATTTCTTCCCCTCTTCCAGCCTTACCTTTCCTTGAGCCACTAATTCTCGCTGGGCTGCTGAGGCTGCCTTCACCAGGGCACTCGTGGCTGCAGCAATGGATTTGGCAGCTTCCAGGATCTGCTCCTCGAAGTTCAGGCTCTCGTCTGCTTGCTGTGGGCAAAAGCAGCGTATGAGTCCCGGGCAAGGGTGCAGGGACACAGGGGGCAGAGCTGGATGATGTCAAGAGGTTCAGCGGGCATGTGTAGAACTGGATTAATGGCCACGGAACACAGGAGGGTTCGGGCTGCCTGAAGAAGGTCCAGCTGGAGACATCAGAGGGAGAGGGAGCATGGGAAGAGGGACTGGCTGTAGGACGGGGCTTCCCATGCGTGACTTTCCCACCTGGCCAAAGCACCGACAGGAGAGCCTCAGGCCACCCCATGCTGAGCATGGGGGTCAGTCAGGGCTCAGCACCCCTACCTTGGGTTTGGCCCTCGGTTTCAGCTGCTCCAGCTTCTTGGCCGCAGCCTCAATGGCAGCCGCCGCCCCCAGCCGCTCGCTCTCGGCGGTGGAGGGGGGGGCTTCGGG